ATTTTATATAAATACAATTCCATATTTTACAATTACAATCACACTGCTGTTGTTTATTTTATATATATACAATCACACTGCTGTTGTTTATTTTATACAATACAATTACACTGCTGTTGTTTATTTTATACAATACAATTACTCTGCTGTTGTTTATTTCATATAAATACAATCATACTGCTGTTGTTTATTTTATATAACTACAATTCCACAGCTGTTGTTTATTTTATATAAATACAATTCCACAGCTGTTGTTTATTTTACATATTACAATCACACTGCTGTTGTTTATTTTATATAAATACAATCACACTGCTGTTGTTTATTTTATATAAATACAATTACACTGCTGTTGTTTATTTTATATATATACAATCATACTGCTGTTGTTTATTTTATATAAATACAATCACACTGCTGTTGTTTATTTTATACAATACAATCACACTGCTGTTGTTTATTTTATACAATACAATCACACTGCTGTTGTTTATTTTATACAATACAATCATACTGCTGTTGTTTATTTTATACAACACAATTACACTGCTGTTGTTTATTTTATATAATACAATTCCACTGCTGTTGTTTATTTTATACAATACAATCATACTGCTGTTGTTTATTTTATACAACACAATTACACTGCTGTTGTTTATTTTATACAATACAATCACACTGCTGTTGTTTATTTTATACAATACAATTACACTGCTGTTGTTTATTTTATATAAATACAATCACACTGCTGTTGTTTATTTTATACAACACAATTACTCTGCTGTTGTTTATTTTATACAATACAATTACACTGCTGTTGTTTATTTTATACAATACAATTACACTGCTGTTGTTTATTTCATATAAATACAATTCCACTGCTGTTGTTTATTTTATATAAATACAATCACACTGCTGTTGTTTATTTTATATAATACACTGCTGTTGTTTATTTTATATAAATACAATCACACTGCTGTTGTTTATTTTATATAAAACAATTACACTGCTGTTGTTTATTTTATATAAATACAATCACACTGCTGTTGTTTATTTTATACAATACAATTACACTGCTGTTGTTTATTTTATACAATACAATTACACTGCTGTTGTTTATTTCATATAAATACAATTCCACTGCTGTTGTTTATTTTATATAAATACAATCACACTGCTGTTGTTTATTTTATATAATACAATCACACTGCTGTTGTTTATTTTATATAAATACAATCACACTGCTGTTGTTTATTTTATATAAAACAATTACACTGCTGTTGTTTATTTTATATTACAATCACAATTTTATATATATACACTGCTGTTGTTTATTTTATATAAATACAATTCCACTGCTGTTGTTTATTTTATATACAATCACACTACAATCAATCACTGCTGTTGTTTATTTTATACTAATATAAATACAATTACACTGCTGTTGTTTATTTTATATAATACAATCAATCATACTGCTGTTGTTTATTTTATATAATACAATTACACTGCTGTTGTTTATTTCATATAAATACAATTCCACTGCTGTTGTTTATTTTATACAATACAATTACACTGCTGTTGTTTATTTTATACAATACAATTACTCTGCTGTTGTTTATTTCATATAAATACAATTACACTGCTGTTGTTTATTTTGTATAATGCAATCACACTGCTGTTGTTTATTTTATATAAATACAATCATAATGCTGTTTTTTATTTTATATAAATACAATCACACTGCTGTTGTTTATTTTATATAATACAATCACACTGCTGTTGTTTATTTTATATAAATACAATCACACTGCTGTTGTTTATTTTATATAAAACAATTACACTGCTGTTGTTTATTTTATATAAATACAATCACACTGCTGTTGTTTATTTTATACAATACAATTACACTGCTGTTGTTTATTTTATATAAATACAATCACAATACAATTACACTGCTGTTGTTTATTTTATATAAATACAATCATACTGCTGTTGTTTATTTTATATAATACAATTACACTGCTGTTGTTTATTTTATATAAATACAATCACACTGCTGTTGTTTATTTTATACAATACAATCACACTGCTGTTGTTTATTTTATATAAATACAATCACACTGCTGTTGTTTATTTTATATAAATACAATTACACTGCTGTTGTTTATTTTATATAATACAATTACACTGCTGTTGTTTATTTTATACAATACAATTACACTGCTGTTGTTTATTTTATACAATACAATTACACTGCTGTTGTTTATTTTATACAATACAATCACACTGCTGTTGTTTATTTTATACAATACAATTACACTGCTGTTGTTTATTTTATATAAATACAATCACACTGCTGTTGTTTATTTTATATAATACAATTCCACTGCTGTTGTTTATTTTATACAATACAATTACACTGCTGTTGTTTATTTTATATAAATACAATCACACTGCTGTTGTTTATTTTATATAAATACAATTACACTGCTGTTGTTTATTTTATATAAATACAATACATTTTATACAATACACTGCTGTTGTTTATTTTATATAAATACAATTTTATACACACACACTGCTGTTGTTTATTTTATATAAATACAATCACACTGCTGTTGTTTATTTTATATAAATACAATTACACTGCTGTTGTTTATTTTATATAATACAATTACACTGCTGTTGTTTATTTTATACAATACAATTACACTGCTGTTGTTTATTTTATATAAATACAATTACACTGCTGTTGTTTATTTTATATAATACAATTCCACTGCTGTTGTTTATTTTATATAATACAATTACACTGCTGTTGTTTATTTTATATAATACAATTACACTGCTGTTGTTTATTTTATATACAATACATTTTATTACACTGCTGTTGTTTATTTTATACAATACAATTACACTGCTGTTGTTTATTTTATACAATTACACTGCTGTTGTTTATTTTGTATAATGCAATCACACTGCTGTTGTTTATTTTATATAAATACAATTACATTGCTGTTGTTTATTTTATATAAATACAATTACACTGCTGTTGTTTATTTTGTATAATGCAATCACACTGCTGTTGTTTATTTTATATAAATACAATCACACTGCTGTTGTTTATTTTATATAATACAATTACACTGCTGTTGTTTATTTTATATAAATACAATTACACTGCTGTTGTTTATTTTGTATAATGCAATCACACTGCTGTTGTTTATTTTATATAAATACAATCACACTGCTGTTGTTTATTTTATATAAATACAATCACACTGCTGTTGTTTATTTTATATAATACATTTTATATAATACCACTGCTGTTGTTTATTTTATATAAATACAATCACACTGCTGTTGTTTATTTTATATAAATACAATCACACTGCTGTTGTTTATTTTATATAAATACAATCACACTGCTGTTGTTTATTTTATATAATACAATTCCACTGCTGTTGTTTATTTTATATAAATACAATCACACTGCTGTTGTTTATTTTGTATAATGCAATCACACTGCTGTTGTTTATTTTATATAAATACAATCACACTGCTGTTGTTTATTTTATATAAATACAATCACACTGCTGTTGTTTATTTTATATAATACAATTACACTGCTGTTGTTTATTTTACATAATTTTGACAACTGTGAAGCTGTTTATACATTTTTATGTCTATTGATATACGGTACTGTTTAAAGAGCTAATATCACTTTTACATAACAACGAATTTATATACAGGTAACATATTTGTATTATTCCTATAAATGTATAATGATGATGATGATGATGATGATGATGATGATGATGATGATGTACTGGTAGGTATAACATTGTAAATATATATATATTATTGGTTTTATTGCACACAATATGATTTCAGTTACTTAATCAATTATGAAAAGTTGTTGGTGTTGAGGGTTTGGTATCAACAAAAGCGGATCGTGACCCAGTTGTATTCGTTATAAGCGGTTAAAGTCCAGAGAACTGACAATACAGCTAAATATACAAAATAACAAAATAACACTGTATTGACTTAGAGAATTTTATTGTTTTCACAGTTAATCAGTTTAGGATCTCAAGTTATTTTAAGATGTGTCCTCACGTAAAAGACAAGTAAGTACTAAAGCTCTAACACATACCTTAGTGTTAGCTGTGAGGCCGGAGACCACCCTATACATCCGAACTGCTACATGAGTTTTCAATCATTCTTTCTTCGATCAGTTGGTTTAAAGAGAAGGAGTTATGAAATAGGCACGTAAGTTGTCTTTTTCAGTTTTTATTTCTTTTCAATGTAAACATGACATTTTTCAAAAACGGAATGTTCTTGTTTTTATTTTTCATAGTTTATATTGGAAGAGGTTAGCATTAAATAAAGAAAAGAAATATCAGATTTAAAAGATATTTCAATTAATATTTGATATACGCATGCATTTTCTCAAACATATATACATATATGTTTCATTTGATTATGAGTATATTATATATCTCTAGTTCATTAAGAGATACAAAAGGTAAATCATCAAAGGACACGATACATGTTCGACGCGTTACTTGGGGGTAAATCTGAACTTGAGACACCAATACGATAGTGTAAATGAAGTATATATTTTTACACTCTGTAAATAGTCTATACTACATGTATAATACAGCTCATTTAGTACAGAATTTCATATAGTTTGAATTTGTAGATAATATTTCCTATGTTAGTGTGATAACACCAACGGTCCATTTACAATTATACAGTGTCTTTTTCATAAACACGTGCATCACCAGGGAATGTTAGAGATACTTATTTATTGATAAATGAAAATTGAAATACGGCTGACAATATTCACAACAACTTTTATTTCCTTGTTTTAAGGGTTAAGACAAGGAAAATCAAATTGTGAATTTCAACATAAGTCGTTCACCCCACGCTAAATACCTTCCTACACGTGACAACGACTCTGCACGTGACCACCACAGTCGCGCTCTATATGAACGATGGGGTGTGCCAAGTGCTATCTGATTGGATTTAACACCATATTTCTGGTAAGTGTTCCACATTTGACATTTACTGAACATTGACGGCAATATAGTTGTCTGGTCCTATTCTCCTGGTACTTTCTCATTGATCTCCTGGTACTTTTTGTTTCTTTTAATCATATTTCGTCCTCGTTTGATTATTTTTAAAGTTTGTTACACGTCTGCATATTTTTGTTGTTTTAGACATAAGCTACTTTTAAAAATATGATATCTCATTCGCTATACGGTGTACCCTCAAACAAAAGCTCTGTCGATTAGAGCTCAAGTTTGGCCTACGTAACTTAAGAGCGAAGATCCGAGGTGCATAGTTCGATGCTCCCTATCAAAAATGGTTAGTGTTTGTCGGGAAACTGAGAAACTGACCGGTCTGTGATGATGCCATGATGTTCATTGGCAAGAGCTTTACGTTAATTACTCTAAATGGCATCAGGCGGGCCTCCCTTGTGTTGTTCTGTGAAGTAGCCACCAGCTACTAAAAGGAACCTCCGCCTCAATAAGTCCCCGGCTGATCATGGGGCAGTAATCCACTTAAACTTGTTTCAATCCAACCGCGTACTTCCAGCGGTGCCAACATGAGTGCTTATCATATGTCGGAAAAACTTGATTGTTGTAAAAGTAAAAACATGTTCTAATACCACAATGAATCAAATTCTGTATTTATGAGTAACACTTGTTCTAGTACCACACTGAATTAAATGATATATTTATAAGTAACACTTGTTCAGGTTCCTAGAATGAAGCCCGACAAACTTTGCGAAAAGAAGTGACTTTCCTTGACCCTTATTCAAGGTCACAGAGTTCAAATTATTTTAAAATGTTAATACATTTTCTTCTGACTAACTAAAAGGGACAGAAGGATAGTGTTTGGCTAATAGGTTTGTTAGATAACATCCGACAAAGTTTGTGGAAGAAAATAACCTTGACTTTTATTTAAGGTCATAGTTGTGTAATTTGTTAAAACCTTAAAGCAACATCTTCTGCCTAATCAAACTGCACAAAAGCATTATATTTGGTTAATAGGTATCTGCGATGAACCCGACAAAATTTGAAAAAAAAACATATTCAAGGTCAAAGGGTCAAATTTGTCAAAACTTGCAATAGACATTATGGTAAACCAGAAGCCCGACAAATTTCGAGAAAGGAAGAAATGACATTTACCTATAAACCAGGTAATAACTGTGACACTGTTTAGAGATGAGTATCAGAAGGTCTTTGTCGTGGGAAATGGTTAAAAATGATTGGATGTGCTCACTTTGAAAACCAATGTTGTAAGTGTTAATGTATTTGTGTTAAACACTGATTCTATTTTTGACAAACATAGAATACCATGTGAGCGACATTGGAGGAGAGGGGGAGTGTGTATTGAAAGTCATGAAATATATATATATGATTTATCCGATTATCCGATACTACAGTTTTTAAGAACTGTCTTCATCAGAGTTTATAATGAATCTATATATCCCCTTAAATTAGATTACACACACCGATACATGTGTGGCAAACATGATTTTTTTTACAAACACCATTAACAAGATATCCTTTTAACTAATAAGCCTTCAGATAAACGTCATTGCGGTTTAGATTTCATGACTGATGTTGCTCAAAATTTTGAACTTTTGGAAGGCATACATACCGTTGGAGACACTTTCTTCATCAACAGGTTCTTCTTAGACTCGTGTGTAATGGAGTCCTCTGACATGGACCTTGGACGCTGCTTTGAAAGACTCTGATAATAATTTGGAATCACATTTGCCTCCCCAACAACAGTCACAATGCCTTCGACTTCAAAGAATTGTTTCATCCATTCTTGAAAATATCGAGGATATCATCCATCACCACTTGCATGTTCCTATGCGAATGTGGTATTGCAGATCAAATCAATGACATCAATGATAATTCAGTAATAATATTTGTTATGCAAAAAATACATGTTATTTGCTGCTGTAAATAGGCTGAACTGTTCTATATAATGCATTACCTATTTATGATTACAAGCAATGTTTTGTATTTGTCAGGAGTTCAATATCACACCATCCATTTCCTGGTGTCTTGTGCTGTTTACTGATAGAAAACTACTATTAAAAATAATGATGACGTTTTTATCAAAATTGACTTAACCCTATCTAAGAAAGTAAAATACTGAACAAAATCACACATTTTAAACAGTGCACACATTTCTATTTTTAAACGATAATTTCATAACATGAGAAAGTAGGATGAACAAAAGAAGTAGTAAAATGTATCATTTTGTTTACGCATTCCTTTGAAGAAAAATCAGCCACATAAGATATACATAAAATAACTTCGTCTCAATGTTTTAAAGGGGGCATTTATCAACTTTTAATCATCAATCTTGGGGAAGAAGATCAGTTGTAAAAAATCCTTATATGTTTTTTCTTTTAGATGTCAAAACCAATTATTGAATATGTCACCAAATAACCAGACTAAAGAGAAATCATGAAAAGAAACATGTATTTATATGTCTACATAAGCAGTATAACACTAAAAACTGATATACAACATAAATGACTTGGTTTCACCGGATATTCTGATTCAATAAGTTGATATGCAAACAGCTGTGGCTACTATATTTTTTCTCATTTAATGTGATAGGTGAGTCGCAAAATGACATGATTGTCACTGGCCAATCTTCAACTTTCGTCATACCTTGATAATTTGTCACATTGATATGAAACGCATGTTTAAAGCTTGTTCTCGGTGTTTTAGACACGATTTCTAATCATTTTCTGAATTAAGATCAAGGTTACTTTAAAAAAAGTATTTCTGTCTGCTACCCCTTTTACTTATAACATAGGCATAATTTTGACATATTTTATTCCAAACTAGTTTACTTACTGGTACGTTAGGTATAGTAATGTTTTGGCATGTCTTTCAACTAAGGTAGTAGCGAACATTGAAAATGTTCATCTCTTTTTATGATTTTAGGGAGTATAGAAGATAATACATTTTTCTGAATCCTTTGGATCAAGTTAAAGAAAAAGTGTTTCCGTCTTCTTAACTCTATTTATGTATTAGGTAACTTATGTAGAATCACATCAGCTCACAAATAATTCATTCAAAACTTGTCCATGTAGGTATAGTATATTCATGTTCAAGTACAACAAATGACTTTTCATGAAAAAAATCAAGAAGAAAGATACCATGTGTTCCGGAAGAGTAAGTGTTTTCTGCTTCATGGCCGACACCGGCAATGTCATCCCATGTAGGAAATATTACATTCTCACATGAGAACGAAGTACTAATATACAACAAGGGAACCAACATACAAAAAACTAACCAGCCTCAAACACGTCAAGCGTCATATCGCACAAAGATATAGAATATTTCTCAATACGATATTTCTCTCACTGGGCAGCCATCTACTATCTTGATATTTCCCTAAGGATTCACAGGGATAGTAAAGATATTTCTTAAAATTCTCTCGCTGTTTGTACATATTTTATATACAATTTGTTGATCCTTTTCTAAATTTTTAAATCAAAACTGATGAAAAATTATCCCTGTCTGCTACACTTTTTCAAGAATTATGTAAAATATACCAAATCAATTTGCATTGATGAAAAAATTATCCCTGTCTGGTACGCTTTTTTGCAAGAATTATGGCAATTATGCTAAATCAATTCACAAGTCGGGCATACATGTTATTCAAAACTGGTTTATCGTTAGGATAATAGCAACCATTTAAACCACTTTGAAAATTCAGGCCAAATCAGCAATAGTTGACGATGTTATCGCACTAAAAAGTAATAAGAAAATAATGTGTCGTTCTACGGAGCCCGTTAACTGACATGCTCCATGTTTATTTTATTTCGTTTTTTCGAAATATTAATTCGTTTATTAGAAATATTATTTCGTTTTTTCGAAATAATAATTCGTTTAAACGAAATATTATTTCGTTTTTTCGAAATATTAATTCGCTTTTTCGAAATATTAATTCGTTTTTTCGAAATAATAATTCGTTTTTTCGAAATAATAATTCGTTTTTTCGAAATAATAATTCGTTTAAACGAAATATTATTTCGAAAAAACGAATTATTATTTCGAAAAAACGAAATAAAGTAAGTATGGAGCATGTCAGTTAACGGGCTCCGCATCGTTCCATACGTATTTGAACAAATGTTTTCATAATAAGATATTAACCGAAGAATCCCTCCGTGGGTCATCCTGCAACAGGTTATTTTGAAATCTTGGAGGCACCTGGGAAAAATCAAAGGATTCAATAAACTTCACATTTTATTTTGTTCTATAGTACCTGAGGATTTTAGAAGAACGTCCAATATAAGTGTACCTTCGGAAGATCTATCTGACTCTTTTATTTTGTTTGTTTGTTCAGACTGATATGAATATCGTTTTCATTGCTGCCTATAGTTGTTTGGTGGAGGATGTCTGGCTGGAGGGATCTACATCCTGATGGACAAGAGTGAGATCCTGGTACTGACCAGGAGTGCCACCAGTTCCCTCAATGTTGATGACGTCGTGACACCATCACTGATAGAAACGGCCGCTTATGTCTTCATAGGGCTGGGTGGCTTCGTCTTTATAACGTCGTTGATGGGCTTCTGTGGAGCATGCTGCGAGAACAACAAGTGTCTGATAATAGTAGGTATCAATCTGTACCTCGTACGGGCATTATATCGACATCCTAGGTCCTAAAGGGAGTCGAACAATTTAGGGAAATAGTAAGACACTACATGTTTATAAAATGTTGATATTGTCAAGCTTAAAATATCAAAATATTCGAGTTGTGTTCCATTTTGAAAAATCAGAAAAGCAAAGTGATGACGTCGAAAGATCTATAAATATCACATATGAACGTTGTGTGATAAGTAAACTCTGAAAACGCCGTTTGATATATTTCTTTAATTTAATTACCAATAATAAAATAATTAGACTATCTTAATTTGATTAAATCCTTGATCCAAATGCACTCTATGTGTCAGAATACAAAATTCAATTCGCCAAATACTAAAACCTATTTTGTTTTTTGCAGTATATTGTTATTGTAGGTACCATTCTGTTAGCACAAGGTACAGCGGTGGTTCTGTCAGTTATCTACAAGGACCAGGTAGGTATCTTCATGTACCAGTTAGGGACCAACAGGGCTTCATGTACCATTTTGAGGCAAACGTGTGGTTTTATGTACCTGTCAGAGGTTAATCGGTTTTTAAAGAAAATTATAAACAAGCCTTCACGAACCTATTATGCGTAAGGTAAGGTTCTTTGAACACCAGGTGAAAATATATGTCTTTGAATAAAGTCTTCATTTTTAAAACAGTTCGACTTAAACTGGTAAATTCAAAGAAAAACAAACCGGCAGTCAACAGCCATTTCTAGTCAACAATTGACGCGTTCACTAAAGAGTTTTACTCTCTCCTGTAACATAACCCCACAGGTAGGAGGTAGGAACTGTGCCTGCTGTCTCCATTAGACAACAGGTGACTACATATGTAGTGTGGTCTTTGTGAACAACCATTTTCTCTAATGTCTACCTTGACACTTGAGATCATGTTTTGCCTTTAGTTAAGCTTTCGCCCATGTGAAGGCGGCTGTGGATTTATTCTTCGAGACATACCCACAATCTATACAAATGGTATTACTCATTCTTACTTAAGGCACAGCGTCGTGGTAGTGTAACGACTGGTTTGCCCATATTGTGTCTATTGTCAGTATACTTCAGTGTGGTAAAACTATAAAATCTACATCAGTTCCGTAAGTTTGATACTTACTTATATCGTAGCCTTTCACACATAACACCTTCAAGTGCGCCTGCAGACACTAAGAGACGTTCGTATATAAAACAAACTATTTCTCCAGAAGGCGTTTAAAGTTGTCAAACTATTCTGTAGGTATACGTTCTGGAGATTAATATTACGAAGACAATGGTTCTACCTAATGACCAATAGTGTAATTACTATAATGTATATCTACAGATAACCGCGTATTCTGGTCGATCGTCACTTAATCTGCCAACCTGGTAACAAGCAGAAATAAAAATATTCCTCTCGACAGACTCGACTAAGAACTGAGACTTCAAATTAACGTTCTATTCGAGAGGCTGCAGTTTCCGGTGCAGTTAATCGGCAAGGAAAAATCGAGAAACGAGACGTTCTAGAACTTCCGTGTCTTCAAATTACACCATTTAATTTTATTTTCTGTCGTTGATTTTTATCAAAATGGCTATATTTAAGTTCGTACTTTCGGTGAATCCAAAGACATAACATGAAAATTACCTTGACATCCAAAATGAAAGTATTGTGATCAATAATGATGTTAAACAGGGATGAGAAATGAACTTACCTTTTGGTATTGGGAGAGTCATTAAGACCTCGGATGAACAACAAAATGATCGAGGCTAAAAACAATACCGACATATGTACAGAAATTCAAACTCCAAATCAATGAAAAGATTGTAAAATAATAATAAGAAAAACAAATAAACAAACAAACAAAATTTACTTCAAGACTCTTGAAAAACTTTACGGGACCAGGTGTTCCTGAGTCGTAAGTGTTTTCTGCGTCATCGACGACACTCACTTTGTAAATCTTAGTGATTCCATGTAAGTAATGTCTCGTTCACAGATGAGAATTTGAAATAAATCCTCGAATTGGACCACTTGGTCCTACTTCCCATGAAATAAATCGTAAGGTTCTTAAAGACGTACTATCACTGGAAATAACAGAGTATGCTCTGGTGACCGTTCATCATAATCAGTGAGTAGATTCTTGGACTATCATTTCAAGTTTATCTCAACAAAAATACATATATACATGTACTTAAACTTGTATCCATCCTCAATACTCCAGAAGTTACGCTCACTATTGCTCTTTGCACACCTGGAACATATCATTGCAAAACTGAAGAGCACAAGTGGATTAATTTGATTGGTCTAGAGCGGGATTCAGAAGAAAAAATCTGGCCAATCACAGACTGATAAGCTACTTAGAAGATTACAAAGTAGCGACACCCAACTTGAAAGCAAATACAATATTCCAGTTTGTGACATTCGAGGTTTGATGCACACCAACGGAGCAAACTAGTCTTCCCGTCTTGTCCACAAGGTGTCGCACACAGAACCACCCGGGGCTGTAGGGTGTGGTAGTAAGCGTAACGAGTATCGAGGATGACATTTCTTCAAATGTTGTTGTGAAGGCAATCGAAGCGATCAGTCCAATTATTCAGATTACCAGTCATGCTTATTTTAATGTTAGACATCAGTTTCTTGATAAGAACGCTTTATTTGTAGTTTGAGACGTATGCCCGTGATAACCTTAAGGCGTTACAACAGACCCGCTACAAAGGTCCATACGATACGTCCGATATTGTCAGTCTCGCCTTTGACATCGCCCATATCTATGTAAGTATTTAACAGTATCCTAGATTGTTTCCCATGTATATGATTTCTTCGTCGTTTAGTGAATGGATTCAGAAATGTATTTTGAAAGACATTAACTACCGTAACAGGATTTGGAAACACGTAATGAAATTTTGACTTTTTGTGTGTAATGGCTTAAAAACGTAAAAAAAAAATATATATCAAATGCTCATGATCAACTTTCTGTTAAACACGAAGTAATATATTTGCAGTGAAGGCTAGTTTCCTTTCATAATCCTTCCACGTGTCCACGAACCAATCAAAATGATATGTCGTCATATTAGCCACTTATGTCTATAATGTCTCGGCAGTGAATCTGAATAGAAAATATAGTAGATTTATAAAAAAACCACATTGCTTCTCGTCTCAATATCATATATGTGTTGTAGTTTCAATGCTGCGGCGTTGACAATGGGACGGAATACGCCTCCATTTCAAACTGGAACACGACTTACGCTTACGACGCAGGTGGCGGAAGTTACGTGGTGGGCGTGGCCACAATACCTGCAACTTGCTGCGAGTTCTCTAACATGGCTCTCTTCCCAAGTGATATTACAGGATTCCTCAACTCTATGACCAATAACACGTGTCCCATTACACAATCGAGTTCATATTCGTCAAAGGTAAAGATTTGAGTTTTTCATCCAAATTAGTGTACTGCCAATATTTTGAACGAAATGAAAATGTTACATTGTTAGTTCAGTTCCATTGTTGGTTCATGTTTGAATATTCACATTAAGGCTACTACAGGAGACTGCACCTGAGTTTGTTTATGACATTCCATGTCGCTGACAAGCTAATAAAAATGCACATCTTTATTCTCTCTCCCTTATTCTTCTCGTAGGAGTGAGCAAAGGGACCAGTGTTTAAATGGGACTGACGTATAGACATGCTCTAGCTTTTGTAAATATGTTGTGATGAAATGACTTATTGCACACTTAGAAGTATGCAAGTTTTCCCGCCCACCTTAATTCAATTGAAATATTCAGTAAGCGGTAGTTTGATTAATTATTGCAAACGTTTACCAGAATATGACTCCTTATGGGATGCTTGATTGACTATTACAAACGTTTACCAGAATATGACTCCTTATGGGATGCTTGATTGACTATTACAAACGTTTCCCAGAACATGACTCCTTATGGGATGTTTGATTGACTATTACAAACGTTTCCCAGAACATGACTCCTTATGGGATGCTTGATTGACTATCACAAACGTTTCCCAGAACATGACTCCTTATGGGATGTTTGATTGACTATTACAAACGTTAACCAGAACATGACTCCTTATGGAATGCTGTCAAGGTGACGGAGCGTTTAAGAATGAGATAAAGTGATTCAGATTGTTCCGACGAACAAAACTACATCTAACGACTCTTTTACAATATTACAACAAATAGGGGGTTAAATTTCAATAGAGGTTTTAGATGGAGGAAGTGCACGGCTATTGTGAACTCTTTCAAAATCTTGACTGAAAACATGCGTCATTATCATGTTGTTAAGGAGTCCCATGCACTATGTTTTCTTTACTTCGTTACCGGTATTAGTATTACGTTACGAAGTGCTTTCTGTATTTCAGGGTTGTTATGAGGCTATCAAGGACCGTTTTAGCCAGTACTTCAATATTGTCATAGGTGTAGGTGCCGGAATCGCGGGGATGGAGGTAGGTTCAATTCCTCAGAAATCAAAAAATATCGTATATAATTCTGTAGTTCTCAATTTCTGTTCAGTTGTTGAAGGATTAAATCGATTATACTCACATTTTGTAACTCTCTATGGAAAAAACAAGCAAGATAAGACCAGCATCGGAAGAAAAATCATTTATCTGTTTGTAATAAAAGTAGTGACACGAAACCATCAAACAGATGTGTTTATATTTATCGATGTAATTTCAAAGAATAAGATAATTCGTTTGTCACGATAACAGGGGAAATTCAATGTTAAGAATACTAGTATAGTCTGGGGATTATTGAACATCATTAAAGAAAAGCTTCGTCATGCTGAGAAAAACAGAGCTGACAAGATGGCGAGACAGAAACATTACTGATGTAATCTACCGAACATATGATACAGCATTAAAGCGCCGAGGAGTTCCGCGGGGGATACTATCACTATGTAACGATTTTAACTTAACTAGTTCCATAGCATGTCAAACAAAAGCAAAAAGACGGTCAGACCGACATTATATAAATGTATAAGAACTTTCTAACACGTTGTTGGGGAGTATATATGTAGATATGATAACAGCAATGTTTTAAGAGAGTGTAACAATGACGCGTATATGGTTACAGATAATGCAAGTACGTGCACTTTGGTAGAAAGTAAGGAGCAAACGTTTCCATTGATTTGGAATGTTGTAAAGTATACTTTTGAATTCAGTGGACAGCTTTCAATAAAAAACCCTTTGTTTCAAGGCTTGTACAAAACAACATGTAGAAGTGTACTAGACGTCCAAATAGCCGGAGAATAAAAAGAGAATAAAAATATAAAAAAGTAAATATTGCTGGATTAAAATAGATCAGATCCATGGATCATTATCTCTAAGATTTACATCTGAAACAAATGAATTATTAACTTACCAGTAAGTTTACAGAAAGTGATATATAAGATTTAATAGAAACAAACGAGTTATATAGTAAACTCCACGGGATGTTAACGAAACGCCCGGCAACCAAGAACTTCATTTTGAAAATATCCCATGAACAGTGTACTGAAAGGAATGGTTTATTTACACAACATATAAAAGGCCCATAAAGACAAAACTATTAGGGAGTCTTATCTCTTCTCAAGTATAGAACTGATTTAGAACACATGAGACAGTTATTGGGGAGTTTTAATATCGTACAATAACTTCAAGATGTATGACAGTTAAGAATTCAATATCGGGATATTTAAAATAAATCTTTAATTGGAATGTTTTGAAATGGGTGTTTGCTATGATAAATTACATGTATATTTATAACCTTCCAGGGAATATACCAGCGTGTTAGTTCTAATATATTGTAAACAAAACTGTATTAAGTAATGTCAAATATTTTTATACTCTCTAGATGCGTTCTAGAATGTTTTTGTCTGGGTAAACAGAACCAGAAAAATGGAGCGAGAACTGTTGAAATTGATTAAAATAATCTTGTGCACATTGACACAAACATATTCCGGCTTGTGAAGATGTGTTATGATTAATCTGACTTGATTCAAAATTAGATAAATTTAAATAAGAATTGATAAAAAGGTTAAAAAAAAAAGAAAAGAAGAAAATTATAGAACCCTAAAAAGAAAAGCAGGACACAGTAAAACAGCACACATCCTTATTAAGTTGGCTGGAGTAAAGACAAAAATATACATCGTTTTCACAAGCTGCGCAGAATGTTAACTTGTCTCGCTGATTGTGTGTATTGTTCTGTGCGGAATAATAAAACGACGATATGATTCTTATCCTTCAAATACAAATCTTTATGTTTACTATTGTATTATTGTTTGGTATAAAATCAAAAATAATATCACGTGTTTTATTTTATTTTTTAGCTTTTGGGTGTCATTGCCGCGTGCTGCTTGATAAAGAAGGAAAAGGACGAGAAAGACCAGAATGATGAAAAGGACGATTAAGATTCCATGTATCATCCATGTTTGGATGAGGGACGGGGTCCACGTCGCTGGTTGGGGTTAATCATTATGTAATGGTTCACAGTGGCGATCGGAAAGGGGAGAGACAGGCGCTGGCGTCTGTCTATTGTATAATGAGGGGATTAAGTCCTTCATTTTGATCATGATTTTCAAAGTGATAGTTTTGATGTTCTGTAAAGATTTAATTGTTAAATAATTAAATGCAATCTGATATTCCTTCTGGAAAATTAAGATATGAGGATGAAATAACTGAGTATAGCCATGTCATTTTGTTGGACCAGCTAAGAGTTTGTCTTCATCGTTAAAAATAAAAACAGATAGAAGAAGACAAATGTTTAAACTCTATCTCAGACAAATGTATTTTTCTTTCTTTTCGTTTTCTTTTTGCCTTTTTTTCAATTTGCCTATAATTGACCTAGAACATTTTGTTAAAAGTTAAATAACCAGAACAGAAATTCCGGTTGATTTGAGTTATATCCTCCAACGAGTTCCTCAACAACAACAAGTACTACTACTTACTATCACCACCATCACCACTACTACTACCTACTTCTACAACTACTACCACTTCAACCACTTCTTCATACAAACAACAACCTGTGTACGGATCCCTCCCATTGTTCTCTTATAACTTTGCTGTGGGAGCAGACAAGGTACATAAGCATGAAAGTACAGTATACGGAATTACAGCCTCCACGCAATTAAGACCGACTTCAGTCCCCATAAAGCCTCATATATCTTTGTTTGGTATTACACCACCTCACAATTAAGACCGACCTCAGTCTCCACAAAGCCTCATATATCTTTGTTTGGTATTACACCACCTCACAATTAAGACCGACCTCAGTCCTCGTAAAGCCTCATATGTCTATGTTTGGTATTACACCACCTCACAATTAAGACCGACCTCAGTCACCGTAAAGCCTCATATGCCTATGTTTGGTATTACACCACCTCACAATCAAGAACGACCTCAGTCCCCGTGAAGCCTCATATGTCTTTGTTTGGTATTACACCACCTCACAATCAAGAACGACCTCAGTCCCCGTAAAGCCTCATATGCCTATGTTTGGTATTACACCACCTCACAATCAAGAACGACCTCAGTCCCCGTGAAGCCTCATATGTCTTTGTTTGGTATTACACCACCTCACAATCAAGAACGACCTCAGTCCCCGTAAAGCCTCGTATATCTTTGTTTGGTATTACACCACCTCACAATTAAGACCGACCTCAGTCACCGTAAAGCCTCATATGTCTTTGTTTGGTATTACACCACCTCACAATTAAGACCGACCTCAGTCCCCGTAAAGCCTCATATGTCTTTGTTTGGTATTACACCACCTCACAATTAAGACCGACCTCAGTCCCCGTAAAGCCTCATATATCTTTGTTTGGTATTACACCACCTCACAATTAAGACCGACCTCAGTCCTCGTAAAGCCTCATATGTCTGTGTTTGGTATTACACCACCTCACAATCAAGAACGACCTCAGTCCCCGTAAAGCCTCGTATATCTTTGTTTGGTATTACACCACCTCACAATTAAGACCGACCTCAGTCCCCGTAAAGCCTCATATGCCTATGTTTTGTATTACACCACCTCACGATTAAGAACGACTTTCACTTTCTATAATGCTTATATGTCTTTGTTTTCTATTAGACCACATAAACCTCGATATGTCTTTGTTTTGTATTAGGACACCTCACAATTAAAATCGGTTTCTTTCAGTACCCGTGAAGCCTCGGTATGGCGTTGTTGATGTATTTATCGCTATGACGACTACATTGCTATCAAGACACTTCGCAGTTAAGACCTGTTTTTAAAAGTTCTTAAGATCAGTTTTGAATTCAATTTCACTTTACTAACAAAACCACCGACCTGTTCCTGGTGTCTTTTCCACGGTGTACCTCTGTCAGGTATTGGATTAGTAAGGTACATTAAGGTGCCAAACCAGCGAAGTCTCTGGCCAAACTGACTACTTGGATGTAATTATTACTTAGTACTCTATATCTAATGTTGTGATACCTACATAATAGTTTAATGACTGGGGAAAAAGGGACAAAAATGGCCGTAAGGGTACGATGTTGGCTTCGTCATACTCGCTGAGGTTATACGTCCCTGATTGTACATATTGTCGACAATAGAACACTTAAAGCTGAAACGGATTATATTTTAATATATTTTCCTTGAACTAGAAAGAAAGTCACACGGACACTAATTCATTTTAATGTCAGTTTTAGAGAGAAAATCTCACAAAATTAATTTGTAAAGAAGGTATTTTCTTTTTCGTTTTTATTCCGCGACGTAAAACGTCAAGTGCAATGGTACCGATATCAATATTATTGAAGGAGTTGTTTCCCTTGCAACAGCAGACCGAAACTTTTCCCGCCAACATACGATGGTGTGCTGTAGTATTAGGCTACAATACAATAATCTCCGGCAGCTTCAACGATTGACCAGTATGGTAGGGTTTACCTGTGTTCCGAATGTAATGCGGTCAGACTTAATGGTCAATTTGTTTATCGATAAGTTGATTGTTGCACTATTTATTGAGCAATGAAATACAACAAGTGGACATTTAAACAGGAAGTAAGAAGGGCCATTCGGAGGTAGATAGGACGGGGTTCGCTCAAGCTTGCAAGTTAATGGCTGTCGATTTATAGTGTAGTATGGTGCGCATACCTCGACAGCTTCATCTGAAATTAGAAAAAAATACTGCATGTCACCAAAAACATTTAAGGTAAGGTAAGGCACGATTAAAATTAAAAACCCAGAAAATATTGAATTTTTCTTTTTTTTTAATTTCTGAACAGCAAAAACCGTGTTCAGCATTTTGACTCATTGCCTCACAAACAATCATCTACTATATGGTTTTGTGTGTACACATTGTGCTTACCGGGTCTAATACAGTTCCTGATACAATCTGTCACTTCTGATTTAATTTTGCCTTTTGTACAACATTGCCTAAGTGACCAGACTCTCTGTTAAGATCTCGGATTGAAATTCTGTTTCAATATTATTTAATCTCAAGACATTAAAACTTTACTCTGATTTTATCTTTTTTATCACAGTTGTCAGTGTCTGATTTTTCATGCCATACTGTTAACAGATAACAGCAGTGTAGTTCTTTGTCATTGTCCAAATCGATGATCAATTTTCATATCAGGAAACAATAAAATCAAGATTTTACAACTTCCATTCTTCTGGCTTGTTTTCATGGTGATCAGGGTTAAATATTGTTTTGCATATTGAATTGCTTATATCTTTGGCACAGGTTTATAAATGTGTGTTGATTCTCTAGAAGTCAAACTCTCTGACCCTCCCGGTATAGGAGGGAGATTTCAGAGTCCCAATCCACTGTGTTCTGGCATAACAAATAATTTCCATGTAATCTACTAGAAAGAGGACTTTATAACATCATGTAATTATTAGGTACTAGTTTGTTGCAAGGTGGCCTAAATTTATGGTTTTCTCAATTTTAATGACTATTCCAGACATCTCTCCATCAAATCTCTGATGTAGTAAACTCTGACTACAACAATCTCCTGCAGGAAAATTCCCCAATATTGGCAAGTATATATCCAAAACCATCTGCTTAAGAAAACTTTCATGAATGTGGTCAAGTTTCTGATCAAACCTTGAGAATAAATGACCAATGGGAGAATCGGAGAATCATCTCTAGTTTTTCAAGAGACCTTGTCAGCCTAATTATAACTATCAAATGAATAGTTTTGATTGAATATACTTGACGTTTCAAAGAAATTTGTTGTAAGGTGAACAAATGTTGCTGATAAATGTTAACAATTAGCAGAATCTATATTTGGATTACTGTGTAGCTTGGACATTTCAGTATTTTATGAAATTCTTGTGTTCTGTATGAGCCCAGACAGGATATAACAGGATTCCTAATACAGCATAGGAACCTATTACAGCTTATCTTGTATACTACACAGTTATCTTTCTATTTTGCGTTGTACAGTGTATACGCTTATTTTACATTCTATAAATATAAGATTTCTAAGGATACAATTCTTCTCCTGTTGTTATGCTGGCTTTGTACCCTATACGTCCAATCTCTTTAGATTACAGTACATGTTGATCTTTACATGGGGTTATGTAAATAGCAAACAGGAAGAACCATATATAGGTTTTGGTTTGAAGCATCAAAATGAAATTGGTGGGCTGAGATATTTCATTTGTGCATGTAAGTTTTTTTATAGGGAAAACATTTCCTCATATGGAATCTCTGTCTGGGCAAAGAAAAACTAATTACTCTTCTTAATAAGTGTTATAAGGCATGTGATCAGTTCACATGTGACCTTGAGACAAACCACTAAGTCTTTTTCATGCAGTACATTTTTCACGTCAAAGTATCCAGGAACCTTCATGAAAAACCAAAGTGAAAAATTGGAAGGTTTTCATGTAAAGTTGAAAAGTCAATAAGTTTAAAAGAAATTTTCAGTACTGTATAAGAAGTATTTTTTGATGGGTTCAATTCTTGGAGTTTTTGGTTTGCAAAAAGGGTGTATTTTTTTCATGCACAAGTAAGTGATGAAATGGACTGTATTTTTCTAAACTAGTTTTATTTTTATGATATCCATTTTTTCTTAGGTCAACTGACCAGAAGGGTCAGGATGACTTGAAGCCATCATATGTCATCTGTCGTCATGCACTGTGGGCTCTTCACTGTCTGTCCTCCGATGTGTGTAAACTTTCTATTCAAATAGCTTCTTCTCAATAAACAAACGATCTTCAAATTACTTCTTCTCAACAAACAAAAGATACATGGCTCTGATTTTTGGCCTGTAGCATGCTGGAAGGAAGGGCTGCTAAGTTTGTTAAAATGAATGACCTTGATTTACTTTCAAGGTCACAGGTGTCATAGGTGTTGAGATTTGCAAAAAACTGCTTCTCAATAACAAAAGGCCCTTGGTGCGGATATTAATTTGACCTGCAGCTTGCTTTGCTGAAGGGCTT